TTGAGCTACTTTAATAAAACTATTTAATTTAACCCTTTTGCCTCCTTGACTCCTTTTTCCTGACCCGGACACTTTTTGTTACTTCCCCCTCACCGCCTAGACCCCTCAGGGGAACGTAGCATGCAAGGATGAACAAGATGAGCACTACGAGATCCCTACAAAATGACCTCCTGTTAATGTCTCTGACCAAACAATCGGAAACAGACTTAATGAATGTAGCCTGAGCACTCGGCCTTCTGTAACATGGTTCAGCATGATGTGTTTTTGGTGGATCAGTAATGTTCTGGGCTGGCATATCCATGGAGGGAGGCACAGACAGGCTGGTCAACAACGCCCTGTCTGACATTAGGTATTGGGACAATATTAATGGATCCATTGTTAGACCATACACTGGTGCAAGGTCCATCTATAGTTCGGTTCATCTATCCGACCACCAGGTTGCACTTCATATTGTTTAGGAGCTCAGTGCAGTCCTGTGGCAGACCTGGGAGGGCATTCCCAGGACACCATCTGTTGTCTTGTTAGGACCATGCCCCAGTGTTGTCAGGCAAACCCACACACAAGTATGTGGGGACCATACAAACTATTGAGTACCATTTTGAGTTGCTGTAATCAAATTTCAGCAAAATGGACTTGCCTGCCGCATTACTTTTTCTATTATATTTTGGGGGTTTCTTTGAATTCAACCATCTGTAGGCTGTTAATTTAATTTCCATCAAACAATGTGTCATTCTTTCATTTCTAACACATTACCCAGGCCATGCTGGATCTCTGGTATGCTGGAGATTTGATGTGTTTTCAAAGTGTTCCTCTTTTCTTTCTTTTTTTAAGTTTCTATAAAACATAATATTTTTAGTCACATCTATTATAAATGATCACACCGTGCACAGAGACATGAAAACTGCTAGGGAGTGGCAACACAAGTGCTTAGTTATTCTCCTAGCAACATCTACAGTGACTCACCAGCTGTGTATCAGACTAATTAGTTTGCCCTGAAACTTGAGGCGGCATTTTGCAAGAGGTAGAGAAAAAAAGAGAAAATTCCCAGGAAAGATTGATTTTGTGTTCATATCTTTTGGGTGTCAGATTTGTACCTGATAAGCTCTGATGTTTGAAGAATACATCCTATGTGACACACAAGGTTTTTGTTCCTTTACAAGTATCTGTAGGTTCATACCGACATAGAGGTAAATATTCAGCAAATTTATGAAGACAGAACAGAATCTACAGTAATGCGGCCAAGAAACTACAAAAGTAAATTGTATTTTAAGCTCATATTATTAACAGTATGAACCTTAAATGATTTCCCATTTTACCCAAACCAGCCTTCAGATTATTTTTTCTTTCAACAAAAATTAATAAAAGCTGCAGCATAAAACTAGCAAAATATGTGGCTGTCCAATTCAAATAGTTATTAGAAAGGACTGGCAAACACATGTTGCATATATGCAAACATTTATGTGGTTAAAGGTTTTGGTGGGTGCCAGAGGCTATCCCAAAAGCACCTTACAGCATGGTCATCAGTCTATCACAGCGCTAACACATACACATGCACATGATAGCGCTGCATGATACGTGACACTTAGTATGACAAGCTGTGACAATTTATTGCTGAATTCAGAGAGTAAAACAATTATCTCACATCTTGGGTTTTATTTCTTATGCATACATATAGACACTTATAGTCACAGACAAAATAAAAAACACACTCAAGTAATGGTTTATGACCTGTTTTGCAAAGTGCCGATGACATTATGATTATCTAATTTCATCATAGCTCCTCATTTGACTGTGTTTGCAAAGTCCCAGTCATCTGCATGTTATTGTCAATTATATTTTGCAATGTAAATTATATACCTTTACATAGTTTTGTATCCAGTTTATGGAATTTTTAACCAACCCTGTATTTTCTGGACATGTAAGATACTTAAACACTTATTATTTTCCAAGGAAAATGCAAAATTGTATCATGGATTGTTAATAGTCAGATACACTCGGCTAGGGCTGTTCCATATAACGATGGCAATATAAAAACGTCTATGTACATACATGTTTGTTTTTTTTTTTCATTTTACGCTATTGTTTGTTTCGTGGTGTCGCAAAATAAACTGTTTACGGCAGTATTTTTTCATCGTTTTGATGGTCACTGTAGTGGCTATATTAATTTCGTAAAGTTCTTTCCTTCTCCTATATTTAATATAACCACACTAGGGACGGACAAGTTTTTATGCGTTGTGGTTAGCAACAACGACGGTAACAGCGTCGCGTGTCCGCTTGTTTATGTTCCACATAAACCTTTCACAATAAAGCTCAAGATCCTGTTGAGACTTTTCAAAATAAACTGAATCACGTGAAAGAGCAGATTTTTATGGATGAGAAGTAAAAAAGAGCCGTCAGGTGCTAAAAAATAAACTTAGACTCAAACGTTAGAACAGGCTTTTCCCCGCAGCACGCCGTGTAATAAATACTCACAAAGAAAACGGCGGCTGTTACAACTTATGCCTAAAAATGTATCGTTTCATGCATCGGTTAAAACACTCGACTCCAAGTACATGACGCGCAGCTGGAAACACTTCCCGCAAGTCGAGCTGCCCGAGATTCACAGAATTTACAGAAAATGTTACATTTTTGTGATTTATATCATTATCGACGATAATATCGGGATATGAGATTTTGGTCATATTGCACAGCCCTACACTCGGCCTTGAATTCCTAAATAATTTTTTCAAACTAAAATATCACCTCAAACATTGTGAGATTATCACACTAATCCCAAAACTGGATAAAGTTAATAATTAAATAACACAGTATAATTCATTTAATTGGGGTAACATGTCTATATATACTATATGTATACTATACTATATGTCTGTAGTGGGCAAAAGTATGTAAGCATTTAAATGAAATGACTGTAATGTAACTGTTCAGATTAATAATTAACTGCTTGCTACAGATTCCTCACAACACTTTTGTAGGAGTTTGACATCCAAAATACTCATTTTATTTATTCTACTTTAAACATTCATTCTTAGAAAATAGTCTTATATGGCATTAACTCAATTTATTTCAGCATGCAGACATGATAAAGAAGACCTGCCAAAGTTAAAACATCATCAGAATCAGGAAGAAAGGTGATTTAAGTGATTTTAAACATGGAATAATTGTTCTTGTCCAATGGGCTGGTCTGAGCTTTTCAAAGATCAGTCTACTGAGTTGTTCCCACACCACCAAAAACCTGAGGTTACAATTTTCAAAATGGGCAAAAGAAGATGGTTTCGTAGCCTTTTCCAGAATGTTTAGCACCAATAAATGTCTTTAGTTCACATCATCTCACTCAAAATGAGGGTGTCCACTTACACCCCAATGCAATCCCATTAATTAGACGCATAATTAATTATGATAATAAGTTCTCATTACCTGCTTTTAGGACTTAAATCTTAAATTTAATGGTCTTTTAGGTGTCAGTGGGACATCTCTGAGATGAGGAGATCACTGTCCAAACTTTTAACCTTTAGGTTATGCTGTGAGTGATTCCTGATAGGTTTGGGCAATAAATTACTTCAAAGATGTGTAATAAGAAAAAACATTCTCTTGTTCTGTTATGTTTTTAAAATAAGATATTCTATACCATTTTATGTCTTTTAATCACTATTATATCTAAATATGTTTATATAATTAACAGTAAAATAGCTCAAACACTGCCTAATGAGAAATCTCTAAACATTAAATGAAAGTACAAATAAAGTTCAAAGTCAGAGTCAGATTTTCCACCTAATTTAGAAATCCAGAAAACTCCCGTTTTGAGGGTTATTTTCATACAATTATCCATACATAGCCGACAAAATGTCGTTATTATTATTGGAGCTGCAGTGAAAAAAGGAAGGACTTCTGTCACCTAAATTGTGCAAGGCTCTTTGGTGTCATGCCCAAGAATTTTATGTTCTTTGAGCCACAAAGAGCGAATTGTAGCGTGCAGAGGGGGCGTATGGCTGGGAGAGAGAAGGGGGTCTAATTTCACATTGTGTTGAACCGAAACCAAGAGGCCCCCTATACAATCAACACACAGGACACTGAAATCTCACCTGTGCTCTCATAGACAAGTACAGGCTTAATCCACTCAGTTATTTCAGTTAATTGTAAGTTTCGGTATGTACACTTTTATTTGAACTCAGAGTAATCAAAACTGTGTGAGTACTGTAAAGTAATATCGTCTTTTATGGTGAACTAAGACGTGAAAATGCACAAATGGTTTTTACATGGCATCATTACGACATCAATTGTGGGGCATCCAGCAAGTGCAAGCCTTTAGTCTCCTCCTCTCACACTTGAATAAGTGTCCAGCTGAGAATTTGTTCTTATTGCGTTGCTATCAGCAGTGCTATCAGCAGGAAGCAAACAGGGGAGGTGACAGAGAGCAAGAGAGAACTCTGCAGTGGGAGAAAGCTCATTCACTTCAACCACAGCTGAGACAAACCATGCCCAGTGCACCACAGGTGAGTGGATTTTACCGATTTTGAATGATGGACTTTGTTAGTTTTACTTAAATTCCTTAAGCTATATTTACGCATAGCAAGCAGGCGGCTCCATTGAAGCTGGATAATTATACAACAGGCTGATGTTTTCTTCGTTTTTTATTGTACGTTTTTCAGTTACAAATATTATTTTACATATTACATATGCAAATATGGTGAATATGTTTTTCTAATGTTTTTTCTAATATTTGAATAAAGGTTTTATATGCCTTAATATTTAAAATGTAATATTCAGTTTCAGTCTCAAAAACATTTAGTGTTATGATGTCTATAAAATGAACCACTTTGAGGATTTTGATTACAAAATCATTTAAAAATTTATACTCAGGTGTTCTGTTTGTAGCATGTGTTGCCTATTCTCCATTGCTCTTTATAGAATAGGCAGTTGCTAATACAACTAATTCCTTCCCTGAAACCTCCTAATATTCCCAAAACATTACATCATTCATGACTGCTTTTGCCAAACGCTAACTAGTACATCGACTGAGTCTTGCAGCAGCAGTTTACCAATAAGATGATGTAAACAGGAAGTTTGTGTAAGGAGGACAGTACAATAGGTATATTGGCATCATTAAGAGTAAACACCTTGCACCAAACCAAGAAATTCTTGCCAGTTTTCCTAATTAAACTGCATTTTGACATGGAAGCTAAAATGGCCACTGTTGTCGGTCAGTTTCCAGGGTGGAGAGCCCATAGGAGGCCACCCTGGGATCCAAGGAAGAAGAGGAAAAAACAAGCCATGCTGCTTAGTGGCTCTCCCAGGGGCACTGAGCATGGAACAAACACATTTTAATTGTGTTCACTGCACTGCAAGACACTTAAAAAACAATTATGTGTTACTCCACACTACTCTTTTTTTCCTCGTGGGGGTTATTATGCTGTGGTGGTTGTTAACAACGTAGTAGCAGATGTTGTTGCTACTTCTTTGTTGAGCTGTTGTGCAAAAACCAAAAAAGCACAACAGGTTTAAATGTCACATATCACATTACTTTTAAATTTCTTATATTGTAACTCAACCAAACAATTATGAGATCAGTTTCACCAGAACAATTGGAGATTTGTGAAAAGAGAAGACCATTGATGACCATCGACGTTGTCACAGATCAAACAAAGTGCCCAGGTGTGTTACAATGAATGAGCATGGCTGTAATTCAGAGACCTATTACTGTGGGTAAACAGTGTGAACTGTGCCCACCAATACAGACCTTGTCAATACAGAAATGCAGTTATTGTTTAGTTTATTTATCTTGGTGAGATTAATCTTCAATTTTGAGTACAATTCAGTGGGTATTAAAAAAAAAGGAAGGACATCTGCAAGATGTTCTTTCATGCTGATAATGAGTTTACTGGGAATTTGATGGATATTATATAATTACAGGCTGGACGAAGAGCTCCCTCCCTTTCAGGCAGTGGCATAATGACCTCAACTACTTTTATAAAAGACACAGGTATGAGTTTGTATTTTATTCTCTATTTAAAAGCACTGTTCTCAGTGACATATATATTCTGTTACACAGGTGAAATGGAGACTCAATATGTTTTAGGGTTGTTTATTTTCCACCCATCCTGCCTATCATTTAAGAAAAAACTTGCACAACTTTAATGTTTCAAGCATATTGCACCCTCTGTAGCACCTTAGACTTGAAGTTAGGAAAGGAATGAAACTAAGGAATAGAAAAAGAAGACATGGAGTATTTGTTGTATGTTCAGAATAGAGAAAATCAGACAAAATTACTGGGATTTGGCTGGTTTAATAGGCAATATGCATGTCTCACGAAGGAACTTGCATCCATTAAGGCTCATGTCTTGCATGTTTTTGAAGAAACAAATGCACATCTAGCCACTGAAACTATGGGAACCCAGTGCAAATGTCCCAAAAGCAAAGATGTCATACTGTTCTCTCATGAATAAAAAGATGACACACGCATGTTGGCATGGTACCTGTGCACCAGAGTGGCATGCCTTGCTGCAGATAAATACAAGCTTCCATGATTACAGTCAGTCTGTGGTTGCTAGAGACACATGTTTATGTGTCTCAGCTTGTAAGAAATGTTATTACCAGTAAAAACTACTTTTGACTGCTCCTTTATTTAAAGGGGGTTGTCTTAGCAGGTAACCCACATTTAATTTGACATACTTTTTATACGAGACGCCCTTTCTGACAAAACCTGAAAAGGTTTTGTCAGGAAGGGCGTCTCGTACCTGAAAAGGTTTTGTGCTTCCTTCTAAGATTGAACAAAGGAAACCTTTGCTTGTTAGGCACATGTGAAAATCAATACACTATGGAGCCACTAAGATTATCTTTCTGAATATTGAGCATATTGCATCATTGTACTAAATTTTGCTTCATAGGGCTGTTGGTTAAATGGTCCAGCTATCCTATCATCATAATGATATCATAAAATAATCTCTGTAATGCAAAATTCAGGTACAATCATGCATTATGCTAAATATTAAGAATGACAGTCCTAACAGCTGATGTTAAGGACAGTGTTAAGTATCTGTTTATTATAATGGGGCATGAGTATATAAGTACCATAGATTGGTACTTATATACCTTCCACTTAATCTGAGCACTGAAAACAGCCCTCTCATTTACCTAATTTCATGCACATTCATACAGCACTTTTATCACAATTTTTATATTCACAAGATGCATTCATGGGTTGCACTGGGGAAACTCTGGGTTCAATATCTTGCCCAAGGATTTACATGTAAACTGGAGAAGCCAGGGATCAATACACTGACAAATTTATTATAACAGATCATTTATTCTCTTCAGCTCTCCTTCTGTGATATATCTCTTCAGCCTAGCGGCCAGGGCTGTGCGCCTTTGTTTGGCACTTTCTAGAGCCTCAGTTATGGACATCTTGTTGTGACTCTTTTTCATTCAGAACCAGTGGAGTATATGACTTTACCAGTCTGTCTGTCTTCATTTGAGGTTATTGCACTGATCTGCCAGGTGATTGCTTTCTACTCAATCAAACTTCAAACATACTCTGCGACTTTTGTCACTGGATCAGCTGGCATAGTAGCATTTCATAAATTCCATATGCCAGTTCTTGTGCATGTATGTCCATGTTCAGTATGTCGTGGTTTGTCAACACGTGATGGGGAACTTTTCAGGCGACGTCTGAGCCAGTTATATATCTTTTGCTCATGTTCCAAGGTAAGCTTCAATAGCATTGGTGCCAAACCTGAGGGCACTATATAGATATATAAACATCTTAGGCCCGGTATTTTTTTAACAGATTTATAGTTTTATCAGCATAAGTAAAAAAAACAAAATAGTTTGCTCATATTGTGAATCTGTAATATATAGTTTTTATGTTGATTTGCACCTGGATAAAAAAGGGTAAGGCATATTCAGAACCAGTTACTTGGTGTTTGTGTCAGTCTTTCAAATAGAAGCTAAGATATTGCATGAAATCCTTGATAAATATCATCACTCATTATGATTTATTCTCTGATCACCATAATATTAGAGAATTTTATAAAAAGTTTCCCAAAAAACCCAGTCCATACACTTTATGCAATGATGTTAAAAAAATCCAACCAATCCTGTGTCTTATTATGTTTCCTCCAAAAATGCTCAACTTTACAGGTATTCTGCGAGTCCTCCCTTTAGGACTATTTCTGCTATCCATGTTAGTATCAGGAGTATCGGGAGAAGCAGCATCCAGTACCAACCAGTCCTCTTCTACCACCAATGAAGGTATTACAGTGCTCACTACTCATTCTCCCTCAACCACCAGCCAGTCCACATCA